GGCCACTCCAGGACCTTGAAATGCTTCTTACAAAGCCATCCTTCGTTGCCGTGTGTTTGGGATTATTGTCTCGTTGATAGACCCAGCCACTTTTCATCTTCAATGCCTTTGCTGATGGCCCCATCAATTTTTTCTTTACAAAGATCAGTCGTCCTGGTCCCTTAGCAGAAAAACAGCCCCAAAGCATGATGTTTCCAGACCCATGCTTCACAGTAGGTATGATGTTCTTTGGATATAACTCAGAATTCTTTCCCCTCCAAACACGACACGTTGAGTGTTTACAAAAAAGTTCTATCTGGGTTTCATCTGACCATATGACATTCTCCCAATCCTCTCCTGGATCATCCAAATGCTCTCTAGCAAACTTCAGACGGGCCTGGACATGCACTGGCTTAAGCAGAAGACACGTCTGGCACTGCAGGATTTGATTCCCTGGCAGCGTAGTGTGTTACTGATGGTAACCTTTGTTACGTTGGTCCCAGCTCTCTGCAGGTCTTTCAATAGGTCCCCCCGTGTGGTTCTGGAATTTTGTTCTTGTGATCATTTTGACCCCACAGGATGAGATCTTGCTTGGAGCCCCAGATCGAGGAAGATTATCAGTGGTCTTGTATGTCTTACTAATTGCTCCCACTGTAGATTTCCTCACACCAAGCTGCTTACCTATTGCAGATTCAGTCTTCCCAGCCTAGTGCAGGTCTACAATGTTGTTTCAGGTGTCCTTTGACAGCTCTTTGGTCTTGGCCATAGTGGAGTTTGGAGTGTGACTGTTTGAGGTTGTAGACAGGTCTCTTTCCTTCTGATAACGGGTTCAAACAGGTGCCATTCATACAGGTAACAGGTGGAGGACAGAGGAGCCCCTTAAACAAGGAGCTACAGGTCTGTGAGAGCAACAAATCTTGCTTGTTTGTAGGTGACCAAATACTTATTTTCATACAAATTCTTTAAGAATGTGATTTTCTGGATTTTTTTTCTCATTCTGTCCCTCATAGTTGAGGTATACCTATAATGAACATTACAGGCCTACTTCTTCTTTTTGCACACTTGATGACTGACTAAATACTTTATAGCCCCGCTGTATGTGTATTACAATAATACTGACTTTTGTCCAGAGCACTTAACATATCATACAGACAGTGTGATATAGTAAACAGTCCCATATTGTTTAATGGGAAAAGCTCAATATTACTTTTGCTTCGGACCTTTTCTAATACTTTTTTCAAATGACGGTTTGGGATAATTGTTTTTCAGGAAACGCTCTTTGTTCTGTTCTTTGAGGATTGTGTTGCACAACAAACTGTGGCCCCGAGAAGTAGAGGCCAGAAACATTATCCTGACCTCCATTTCACAGCAGTTCTCACTTTTCGATTTTCAAAAAGGTGGATTAATCTAATTAAATATATTTTTCTGCCATACCCCAGTGTTTCCCAAACAGGGGACCCCAAGGGCTGAAAACAGGTTCTTGAAACTGTTTTCAAAACAAGAGGTTAATATAGGTTATACATACATTTAGAACTATTTCTCTTCAACCAGACAAATTATTCTATTCTAAACATTAAACCTAGATCCCAATTCACAAGATAGGTCTATCAGTCTGCAATAAGTTTTCTTTTCTTTCTCTTCTTACTTTTGGTTTAGTCCAAGCTCGAACTGATTTTGTTCAGAATAATCTAAATCTCAACTTCATGAATCATTAAACTAGAAAATTATGCAAAGGTTCTGCAATATGTACGAGTCACAGTCAGTATCTGTGTCCATAGACCAGTTCCCCTGTGCCCCCCCGGAGGCCCATGTGCAGTCTGAGACCCCTTCACCTTCCCCTTCCCCTCGCCTCCTTCTGACACCCTGACATTGTTATTAGTGCCATAATTTAGCCCCTTATGCAAACATGACCCTGTCCTGGAAATGTTATTAGGCAAAATATTCATACAGTAGTCACAGAGAGACCAATAAAAATCTGAAAGTAGGGACATAAATATCGTCTCTCACCGCTACAATATTTCATAATTCACTGCATAATCTGACAGTGCCTATACATATGAACAAGGTGCATTATTTCATAGTGTGACACACATTTGAATAAGATAAAGAGATAAGCAAGGGCACGCAGGAGAAAGCTATGTGTTTATGTCCAGCAGGATAGATTCAGTATTAGGCAATCTGCATTGTAATGTCTGTGGTGCCTATAACCACATTTTACGACTCTTCTTGCATAGTAAACTGTCTATGTTCTGGCATTGAGCGCACATTTATAACTGAGCTGCGGTTCTGAGCGTATAGACTTGGCGTAGTGGTGGCGGCGCACTTGCACTTGCTCAGAGGGTCGACCTTGGCGCACCCCTCTATTCCCCCCGGGTCCCACTCAACCTTGGCTAATTAGCTCATGTCCCAATAGCATATGTTCACTGCACGATTTATCCACAACAAGGACACTACAACGCCAAAGTCCCGCCTCCGCCGCCTCCTGCTCGTTTCCCGCACGCTCATGCTTCAACATCACAATCACATTCAAGTCTTATAATAATGCCAATGCTATAGTTGCAACACGTATCCGCTGCAGCTGTAGGTTCATTTCCTGTTTTGTTTTGTTAGGGCGACTTGGTGGCTGAGGTCCTATGTTTGAATCCCGGTCGGAACAGGGCCTTTCTGAGTGGAGTTTGGATGTTCTCCCTGTGTCTGCGTAGGTTTCCCCCGAGTGCTCCGGCTTCTACTACCACACAAAATATGCACAATAGGTGTGAATGTAATGAGTCAGTGAATGGACGGTGGTTGGGGCTTTAATGCATCAGTGTTTTCGGCGTCTCGCTTCCGTCACGGCGTGTAGGGGATGGAACATTATCTGAACTCGGAACATTGTAAAGCGCTTTGTGTGACCTTGGTCTGTAAAAATGGGTAAAAACAGGAAATGAGGGACACATGAACATATATAAGTAGTGCAGTGGATCCGCTCATAATTTATATACATGTATATTATATATATTTATGTATTTATGTATTTCAATAGTGGACATGACAATACATCACATATTACAATTACATTTCAAATGATTGTAAATGAAAAGGAGCAGAAAGAAGAAAAACATAATATGTTGCCTGCCCCTTTCTTAAAACATGTACAAATTAAATACAATAATGTGAGCACTCCTCCTTCAAACGGTTTTATTTTTTATTAAATATTTATTCTCCCATTTTTCTAATAATTCATTTCATACGATTTCACTGAATGTTGGTTTGATTTTTTTCTTAAACATGTGGATGTTTGCGGAACTTTTTATTTCATATACAAATTGATTCCATAATTTGACTCCTACCACTGATATTCCAATGTGTTTCTGGGCGGTTCCAACAAAAGGGACAGAGAAGTGTGTGTATGTTGTTCTATCCATACTGTAAAGAACAGCAGTTCTATATCACTCTGCACCTTATTTATTTATTTATTTTTAAAAAGGTGCAAAGTGATATTTACACACGTAAAGAACTGCTGTTCTTTACACATACATACATATGAAAGACATTTGTGTCGAAAGCTGGGAAAATATTGTTTATAAAACAACAGATGAAGTCACAAGCACAATTGATATCCCATCAGTGTCACGTCCTTTGAAAAACACAACACTTTTGTCCAATTGGATTTATTTAATTGGTTTCTTTGACTGACCAGACACAGGTATAGCAATCATTTATTATGAAATCTTTATATGTGTGTGTGTATTAGAGCAGACAACTGTACCAGTTACCAGGACAATCTTCATTAATACTGAGATTGATCATAATCAAACAGATTAATGATTCATACACAATCAAATTAAGTCTTTAATTCTGTTGCAATTGTTCCTATAGGCCTCACAAACAGTTCAAATGTCACTACAGATTTTGACCAACAGGGGGTTTGTGCAAATGAAGCCTCTAGAAATTAACCTTTTCTTGAACCGGATGGATGGAATGGTTCAGCACTTCATGAAGCTTCATAAACCTGTATCCACTGTACACGTCTGAGTGCAAAACCAAATCTACCAAAATAACAAACAAAGAAATAAGGATGCAGTACATGGAGGGAGCAGAGCAGAGTGAGATGTGTTAGTACAGACACATATTTAAGTACAGGTGCGCCCAATCCCTGGGTCCTCCCTGACTGAGGCCATGTCCACACGTAGCCGGCTATTTTTTAAACCAAATATTTTCCGCCCTCCGTTTATAAAATAATTTGTATCCACATTACACATTATTAAAATAAAACTCCTCCACACCCAACCTTGCATCTGCGTTTTCAATCACATTCATTACATTCCAAACCTGTATGTCCTCTGACGTTTTGTTCAGCGTCGGGGAAAAACACAGAAGTGGGCGGAGCTTTGATGCTAACCGCGGTACTTCTGTAGTGGCGCTTTTAAAGTCATAGTAGAAACTCAGGGTAAAGACATAACATAACAAGACAATTCGCAAAAAGGACCAGACTCCTTAATCGAAGTGCTAAGCGTCTACACGACAACGGAAAACAATGTAGTTCTAGCTCCCGGACAGTAGGGGGCAGTGGAGCTTTACAACACGGCACACGCGACCCCCAGCAGTATAACCACTTTCTCAACAACATCCTCCTCAGGCCACAGCAAAGACGTGAAAGAATGCACCAATATCATTCTGCATTTAACAGTAGCTGTAAAATTGAAACTGAAACTACAGCTTTGCATGGTTTTGTTTGGACAAAGAATTCTCGTTCATGTAATGCCCAGTGTTGTTTGTTCTTGGCTACTGCGCATGTCCAAATGTACGTCCTCGTGTAAACAGAACAAGTGAGTAAAAGTTCTGAGTCAAAAGACAAAAAATAAAAATCCTTTATTATCATAGTGCCCCAGACCTTTCCTTTTTACTGAACACATTTTGTTTACAGAAAGAGTCTTATACAAGTAACATTGTGTGGACAACTCGGACCACAACATTCTGTTTTTATCATATTAAAACTTTAGATCTTTTTCATACTGATTGCTGATTGGCTGAGCTCCAAGATGGTGAGATAGTGCTCTCTCCAGATAGGAACTAGTTACACATTGTATTGTATTACATTGTTGTCTTTTAAGGTTTTTCAAAGTGAGGCACAGCAACTACTTTGATCTGTGGTTATTTTTGATAGTTATTTGATACATTATTGAGGTATTTTAACCAAATGTTGAATCAAACTGATGTTTAATTCAACATCAGCTTGATTGTTCTTGTTTGGTAGATTGTTCAGTTGAATTCAGTTTGGATTGAATGAAAAGTAGGTCAATGGCCAGGATAGACTAATGAGATTTTCCTCTGTAATTACATCATCAGAGGCCAAAACTGCAGACCTCTCTGCTTCTCAGACAGTCCAGCCATTTGGTAATACCTCAAACTGACTGAATTTGAATGTTCACATTTTGTCACAGGGAAAAGTTTTTTTTGGGAATAGGGAATATGTAAAAAAGGTGCATAAAAATCCCGGTGACAAATGTGTGAAAATAATAAGTCATTATAAGTCATGTGCGCGTGCTGCTGCAGGTGGCTCGCATTGAAAGTGTGGGAAAGTCTGTTCTCAGTCAACACTCCCCTGTGGCAACGAGCCCAGAGAAGGATCACACTGCCCCAGGACGAGTGCGGCCAGGCACCCTCCTCCAGGAACAACAAACATGAAAAACAGCTGAGGAGAGCAAAACTGTTCATGCCTCATTTGACAAGACGCTCACCCTGACATTAGAGCAGTACACGCAGGTGAAACATACACAGGACTCTGGGAATCAGAATATCGTTCCAAAGTCCTTTTACTTCTGTAGTTTAACTTACTATTACAGACTCGTTACACGCAAAGTGAACTATATCAAGCCTTTATTTGTTATAATGTTGATAATTGGCTCAAAGCTGTAAAAAACCCCCGAAATAAAACATTTCAGAAAGTTATAATATATTAAAGTGTAAGCCAAAAACGTCAACATTTTCACAAAAAATTATCGGTTACCCGTTCGAAGTTGAATTGTAGTAATAAATAAACTTTTATAGTAATAAATAAACTTTATTCTTAATTTCAGAAATTCACATCAATCCCACTCTACTCTACCGTACACTACACTGCCCTAGTCTACTCTACTCTACCCTACCATACCCTACACTGCCCTAGTCTGCTCTACCATACACTACACTGCCCTAGTCTACTCTACTCTACCCTACCATACCCTACACTGCCCTAGTCTGCTCTACCATACACTACACTGCCCTAGTCTACTCTACTCTACCCTACCATACCCTACACTGCCCTAGTCTGCTCTACCATACACTACACTGCCCTAGTCTACTCTACTCTACCCTACCATACCCTACACTGCCCTAGTCTACTCTACCCTACCCTACTCTGCCCTAGTCTACTCTACCCTACCATACCCTACACTGCCCTAGTCTACTCTACCCTACCCTAATCTGCCCTAGTCTACTCAACTCTACCATACCCTACACTGCCCTAGTCTACTCTACCCTACCCTACCATACCCTACACTGCCCTAGTCTACTCTACCCTACCCTACTCTGCCCTAGTCTACTCTACCCTACCATACCCTACACTGCCCTAGTCTACTCTACCATACCCTACACTGCCCTAGTCTACTCTACTTTACTCTACCATACCCTACACTGCCCTAGTCTACTCTACTTTACTCTACCATACCCTACACTGCCCTACTCCACTCTACCATACCCTACACACTGCATGAAAAGTGTGATTTTCGTCTCTTTTCGGCCCTGTATATTACTGTGAAACTTCTGGGATTCGGCAGTTTGTTGTCCCCTCCTCCCTCCTCCACAGGAGGCTTTAACATGTAAATGGAAATGCTGTGAGCTATACAAATGCTAATCAGGGTTGAGGGGGAGCACACCGTAGACCCGGATTTTGTAAATGCTCAAACACACACACACACACACACACACATATTTGATCATGATTGATTATCCCGCTGTTTGGCCTCCCCTGTCCCACCCCGTTGCCACGCAGCTCCACACGGGCACAGACACAGGCAGCGGAGCGAGCGAGGGCCATGGCGTTTCTGTTGCCGTGATGACGACACCTGCCCCACCGCCAGAAGCGCTCCGGGGGCGGAGCTTCTTTCACTTCAGAGAGCCTATCACAGAAAAGACAAGCGTCAGGTGTGGACCAATCACAGAGAAGGGAAGGATCAGGTGTGGACCCAAACCAGAGAAGGGAAGATCAGGTGTGACCAAGACAAATGTAAAAGCTGGGTACCTAACTCAAGAATAGTCCTGATAAAGAGCCCTGGGACATTACGTCTTACACTGTGACTTGTCACTCAGTCAGTCCGCCATACTTTTTTTCTCGTCTCTTGTTTGTGTTACACTTTCATGTGAACCCCAAGGAACGTGGTCGAGGCGCAGCGGAGGTGTGGTCCAGAGCCAGAGCATGTCTACGACGGAGAACTCCCTTCTGTTTTTTTACCCTCGCTGTACAGTGTGGTGCTATTCTAATAAACTTCGGACCACACCATACATTTGTATCCTGTCTGGCTTTGCTGATGTTAAGTATTAGCGCCACCAGCTGACCGAGTTTTACTGTGGTCCGTTTCCCCATGAGTTTAAAAAACAGAGCGTTGGTTGTTGTGGAGTGAAAGTTAGTCCCCCAGCTTTAACGACGAGAGAGAGAGGTACCGTCTCCTGTGCTCTCCTCTCCTCCGTCAGACTCAAAGAAACGGTTTCACAGGTCTCGAGACAGAGGTCCTCATCCATGGAGAAACACACCTGAGACAGCGACCGCAGTTAGACCTGTGTGATGTGTGAGTGGTGTGTGTGTGTCTGTGTAGATGTGTCTGTGTGTGTGACACCTGGCGCTCCATCGCTGCCCAATGGCCTCCTCCCAGCCCAAAACACGCCTTCCTCCTCATCGTCCGACTCCTCGGCCTCCTCGTCCGTCTCCTCCACCTCCACGACCGTGTGTGTAACTCGGGCTAGTCCCTCTGCTCCTGTCCCCTCTCCGTGCCCCTCTCCGTGCCCCTCATCCGTGCCCCCCTCGCCGTGCCCCCGCCGTGCTCATTTCGTGCTAGCTCGTGTTCTGAGCAGTAGCAGAGCTGTAATGGATGGTTAACTCTGGGAATACAGGCGGCACTCCCACTCTGGGACAGACAACAAAGTCAGAGGTCACAGAAACAAAGATCGTTGCTGTGTGTTTGGTGTATGTGTGTGTCCTCACCTGTGTGTGTCTCACCTGTTGTGTGGGTGCCTCAGGTGGGCTGCCGGTGTGTGTCTGTGTTAGGGTGATCATGGGTGGTGGGGAGTGCAGGATGCCTGGATGGTCCTACATGAACCTGCAGACACACACACAGGACACCACCACACCCTGGCAGAGGAGTTATCAGTGTATAAAGTGAGGGATTTACAGACTTCAAACGGCGCTACGAGATTCCACTTGTTCACTTTTAAACACTCACCCCTGTCCGAAAGAAGGGGCAAAAAAACAAAACAGTATATCAAACCATCGCTGACGACTGCGTGCCGTCTCAGCAGGAAGCCCGCCCCCCACACGCCATAGCTGAAGTCCCCGTCTCGCGGATAGGGGGCGCTCTCTTGCTCTGTCTCTCCATCCGAAACTTCCTGGCAGGCGGTGAGGAAGGCGACCTCACATCCGGCCTTCGGGCATAGCCTGCGCCGCGGCCAGCAGTGCCACCACCACTCTGTGGTTTATCTGATCTCCGAGTCCAGCAGTGTTTGAGGAGGACGGCGCCATTCTGAACATTCACAGTGTGCTATATAAAAGAGGGAGGTCCTAGCCTTATGTTAGCATATGTTAATTAGTCTGATTGCCTGTTGGAGTTTAGCTGAGACGTGTGGGGAACTAGGCCTCTGCTAGGTGACTGGCAGATGAAATGAAAAATAAATACTTAAAAGAGGCACAGGTGAGATATGAAATGTTGAAATGGGAGCCGGGGGAGAGACGAAGAGTACGCTGATGCTGGTGGTGCTGGGGAAGGACAAAAACAAGAGAGAAACATTTATTAGGGAGGTTTGTCACCTCTGGGTCTCACAAACATTATACAGAGGACAATGGCTAACACAGACTTAACAGAGGGACAATGCGATCGACAGACATTATTCCAGAGGGACAATGCAAACATAGCTTCTCAAAACTTGGGCTATTTACACCCTGAAACACTGTCTTCCAATCTAAACGAAAGGCCAATCTAATACACCAACTACTTAGTTTAAATCTGTGTGAGGAAAAAAACTATTTGAAACTGGGACTCGGGGCTGTGGAGGTTTTTAAAATGGGTGTAATCTGTTCAGAAAGACCAACCACAGCTAGTTCATAATCAAAAACAATAGGAGTGTATAGAAATAAAGTTAATAAATTGATTCCAGAGGTTGAAGATTACGAGTTCAACAATACTAAACTGTGGTAGAGGGCCACATTCATCATAGCCATTTGGTTTTTTTTATGTTTTTATTAAATAGACATACATTAATTACTATTTTGGACAAACAATAGACTCTCACACTCTTTCTACACTCGCAATCACAATCCGAACCTCCTCTCGATCTAACTCAACACTAACTCTCGTCAAACCAACTCACTCTCACACTAACTCGACTCCTCTCACACTAACAACTCTCTCGACCCAACCAACTCTCTCACACTACCAACTCGCATCACAACTAAATTACTCTCTCACAACTAACCAACTCTCCTCTCACACTAACCAACCCATCGCTCACACACAAACCAACTCTCTCTCACACCGCGAACCAACCTCTCTCACACCAACTCACTCTCTCACCACCAACTCACTCTCTCACCTAACTCACTCTCTCAAAACTAACTCAACTCTCTCAACTAACTTCACTCTCTCACCCTAACAACTCTCTCACACTAACCAACTCTCTCACACTAACTTACTCTCTCAACACTATAACTTACTCTCTCACACTAACCACTCTCTCACACTAACCAACTCTCTCTCTCACCATCTAAACCAACTCTCTCACACTAACCAACTCTCGTCCTCACACAACTCACTCTCTCACAAAACAACTCACTCTCATCACAACTAACTCCACTCTCTCACACTAACTCACTCCTCACACTACCTCACTCTCGCAACACTAACTCACTCTCTCACACCAACCTCTCTCAACACACATAACTCACTCTCGCTCACACAAACAACTCTCTCTCCCACTAACCGAACCACCTTCGCTCACACTAACCAACTCTCTCTCACACTAACCAACTCTCTCTCACACTAACCAACTCTCTCTCCACTACACCCACTCTCTCACTACTAAACCAACTCTCTCCTCACACTAAACCAACGCTCTCTCACACTAACCAACACTCTCACACTAACCAACTCTCTCACACTAACCAACTCACTCACACTATAACCAACGTCCTCTCTCACACTAACCAACTCTCTCTCACACGAAAAAAAACAAGAACCAACTCTCTCTCCACTAACAACACTCTCCTCCGAACACACTAACCCTCACTCTCGTCGCACACTAACCAACTCACCTCTCACACAAACCAACTCGCTCTCACACTTAACTCACATCTCTCACACTAACTCACTTCTCTCACACAAAACTCACTCTCTCACATCTAACTCACGCTCTCACACTAACTCACTCTCCACACAAACTCACTCCTCTCACACCAACTCACTCTCTCACACTAACCAACTCTCTCGCACACTAACCAACCTCGTCTCACACCAACTCTCTCTCACACTAACTCACTTCTCGCACACTAAACCAACGCTCTCTCACACTAACCAATCGCTCACACGAACCAACTCTCTCTCACACTAACCAACTCTCTCTCCCATCTCACTAACCACTCTCACACTAACCAACTCTCGCTCACACTAACCAACTCTCTCTCACACTAACAAACTCTCTCGACTCTAACCAACTTCTCTCACACTAACCAACACTCCTCCACACTAACCTACTCTCTCTCACACTAACCAACTCATCTCTCACACTAAACCAGACCTCTCTCTCACACTCGTGCCGACCCACACTCTCTCTCACACTAACTCACTCTCACACTAACTCACGTCTCGTCACACCAACTCTCTCTCACACTCAACAACACTCTCTCCCACTAACCAATCACTCTCTCACCTAACGCACACTCACACGAACTCACTCCCCTTCACACCAACCTTCTATATATCTTTAAGATGATCAATGACTCTTCTGGCCCCAGGAAAAGCCATGTTCCAGCTTCTTCCCTCTGGCAGAAGATATCCTTGTTTTATTTCTGGTGTCTGGTGCTCACTGGGGACTTCTGCAATCGTTTTCCAATGTGTGTTTTTTTTTACTGCAAATGACAAATGAAATGAATCTGAAAGTGAGTTCCAGGCCACAAACAAAGGCAAGCGGGATAGAATCAGTGTCCCTATTTGACTACAGGCAACTTTTTGTCTCCTGCACAATATTCCCTCTAACTTCCACCCAACGTTCATTTGCCCGTCTCTCTTTGTAGTTCCACTCAGCTCTGTCGTCTCCTCGAAAATTCTGTCGAGCTCAATTTTCAATCAGAGGGTTGTTGCTTTCTACTGTTGCATGAATTATCTATGGCGCGCTGTTTTGTTCACTCAAACTTCCCCATGATTAAGTCACACCATCTGGGACGAGTCAGAGCGGTACTTTTGATTCGCAGACTTCGCTAGGTGCTTCATTTGCAGGGGCTGGTTGCTCATTTTAAAAGTCTTGTTTGATGCGTTTGGATTGTATTGAGTGAAGCCGTGGCCCTTACGCTTTTCACACTTGCTCTGGTTTTCTTGTGCCTGGCCCAATTTTTGGATAATAACTAGGGCCTGATGGTGTCACCGCCGCTGCTCCATTGTCTGTTGCTTTTGTCTTTTGGGAAATCAGTCAGAAGTGGAGAATGTTTTTTAAATAAAATCTTGTTCGTTTTATTGTATTGGTAATAAGTGTGTCAAGTAACATTCCAAGGAGTCCTCTCTGCACTGTTCATAATCCACTACAGGCCATACTTGCATGCGAAAGCCAGATCCCGTCAGACCTCTGAAGCTCAGCGGGACCTGACCTGGTTAGAGCAATGATGGGAGACACCTCTGGGAACACCAGGAGCAACAGTGGGAGGGGCTGCGGCTGTAAAGTCCTCCTGCACTTGTAAATAATTCGTGTTTGTCTCAGATATTTACCACTTATTGTTTTTCTGTTTATGCTGAATACAATTTAATGATAACTATGTTTCCAACAAGAGCTGTGTCTTTATTCACAACATCACAGTTAAATGAGTTGAAACGATGTCACATAAACCTACAGTAGAAACACATGTAATGATCTCAAACAGCTCAACACTATTGTTTTTGTTCTGAAGAGGAGAAAAATGGGACGGCTTTGGTTTCAAACTCCTGTGAGATGACTTGAGAGTTGACTTTTGTATTTTACATGAGTTATTATTTGGACAAACATAGTGCAAAGTAATTCATGATTTGATTTAAAAAGAATTGTGGCTAGCTAGTTAAAATGGGATATTGTGATTTCACAAGACTGTCTTAGAAGTGATCATTTGAAAATGTTAAATTTGAAAAATGTGCAGAAAATATAAAAATAAAGTGTTGCATATTGATATTTATCTGTTTCTATATATATTAATTGTGAGAAATCATTAAGATGATCAGTGTTTCCACAAAGATAAATATCATTGATTATTAATAACATAGAGTTAAAGGTAAATTGAGCAAATTGGCTATTTCTGGCAATTTATGTAAGTGTGTAACATACTGGTAGCCCTTCGCATTAATCAGTACCCAAGAAGTAGCTCTTGGTTTCAAAAAGGTTGGTGACCCCTAGCCTAGAATGAGTCTGATGTGTGCGTGATTGGCTGGTGGTGGTGGGAGGGCTTGATGGCACATACTGGTTGCCTTGCTTATCTACAGTGTGTCCCAGGGCAGCTGTGGCTACAGTAGTAGTTTATCCCCACTGTGTGTGGAGTGAATGAATAATGACTTGAGAAGCGTCCTGAAAATATGTATAAAACCAACGCATTATTTTCTTCATTTATTTTTTTACTTGAGCCAGTGCGAACTACCTCTAAACAGTTCACACTGGTATCAGAGATCTTGCCAATATATGAAATATAGATATGAGCTGATAAATTGTAAAAAAAAATCGTCTGTTGTCAATTAGGGGCATTGGTCCTTTCCTGCTTGTCTTTGTTTGTGGCCTGAAACTAAACCTTAGAACAGAAATACAAACAAGCTTGTTTCTAGATTATTACTGATCTAAAGATAGATACTTTATTGATCTCCCTCAAGGGTTGGCAAGACAGGTCATGTGCACACACACACACACTCACATGCAGACACATACACACACACAATTATAAAGGCCCCTCAAAATCTGTATTTCTTTCGCCACATTCATTTTTTTTGAGTATGTCTTTATAATACTGAAGGGACGCAGTCGTAATGAAGAGACAAAGATATATTATAGTCTCATGCCGCGTTCAGACCGGATCATGCGTTGCGTCGGCTTTCAATGCAAAGTCAATGGTGAAGCGCATTCGAGCGTCAAAACGGGACGTTCGTGCAGCAACCAATCAGTGAGCCGCAAAGTGGACATGGGTAGCGGTCTGAGCGAGCAGACTGAAAATACTCGTAAACAGCCAAAACAGGAGCTACATCAGGACTAAACCAGGGTTGACAATAGGGGTGGGAACCTAAGGGTACCTCACGATACGATATGATACGCTATACAAAGCTCACGATAACGATTATATCACGATAACGATTACATCACGATATGACAATTATTTATATATTGCTCAGCAATATACCATATGCCAATAAATGGCATACATAAAATAGAAAAAATAATAATAATAATCGATTGCGGGAGAAAGTATCGTCACACTCCTAGTTGACAATGGGGGACACAGTGCTTGTTAACATGTGAGTTGTCATGCTCCCGTGACTTTATGCAACTGCTTAGATTTTATTTGTCGATGCAGAAGTACCGTTTAATAATAAAATAAACTTATTACGCACCTCCGTGAACACATACTACTGTTAAAGGCACACCGTGTAACTCTTGGCCACTAGGGGCGCTAGACCTGCAACTTTCACGTTTAGCGCCCCTAGTGGCCACAAGCAACTCAGCACTGTCGCAAAAGTCAACAAACAGTCAGCCGGTGTCTTTTGAGTGTGTATTCAGACAGCATGCACTGGTGTGTGTGTTCAAACTGTAGAGACATGCCTACAGATATTGAGAGACTCTGCTGTGGTCAGCCTCCAGACCGCTGCATTAGTAATCTACCACACATGGACTTCTATATCCTGGATGAGGGAGTTCTGCGTCTAGCTCGTGCTGCGTGGAATGACATCTTTGCAGTCGATGACATCCAGGAACCAGGTGAAGAGCAGCGCTCATACAGACATGCAGCTTACAGCACGATCCCTTTCGCGTTTCCTCTTTTTAGCCTCCTCCGAAGGTTTAAAATTTTTCCTGGCCTCAGCCATGACCAGGAGTCGAGCAGGTGAAAAATGAGTAGCAAAAGCCTTAGCTCCATGAGTATATCAGCGCCTGTAGCCGTAAAGCAAGTCTTTCTTCCAAGTCACGTGACCTGGTGGCAGACGGTCCGTCTGCTCGAAACTTACATGGGCGGTATTTCAAGAGGGCAGCCCCGCTCGGAGCATTGCAAGTGTCAAGCGCTGTATATTGGCCCAAGTATTCATATAAAATAACTCATATGTGTCAACTCTTTAGGTCACAAAGTCCGCGGTGTGCCTTTAAATAAAGTCTGTGGAAGGTCTCTGAACACAGACACGCTGCAAAGGTGCATTATTGGAGAAGATCTGTACACGAGAATTATAGGGCGGCACAGTGGCTGAGTGGATAGCACTCTCGCCTCTCAGCAAGAAGGTCCTGGGTTCGAATCCCGGTTGCACCAGGGCCTTTCTGAGTGGAGTTTGCATGTTCTCCCTGTGTCTGCATAGGTTTCCTCCTGGTGCTCCGGTTTCCCCTACCACTAAAAGTAAGTAAGTAATCTTTTATTTATATACCGCCTTTTCACTGCACATCTGAGTCTCAAAGCGGTTTACAATTGTGATTCTTTGGGAGTGGGGGTGCCAGTACAGGAGGCACATGTCAGACCTATTGTACATAGTGGTAGGGGAAACTGGAGCACCCGGAGGAAACCTACGCAGACACGGGGAGAACATGCAAACTCCACTCAGAAAGGCCCTGGTCCAACCGGGATTCGAACCCAGGACCTCCTTGCTGAGAGGCGAGAGTGCTATCCACTCAGCCACCGTATGTACAAGTATACATATTTGTACATACAAATATGTACAATAGGTCTGACATGTGCCTCCTGTACTGGCACCCCCAAAAATAACAATTGTAAACCGCTTTGAGACTCCGATGTGCAGTGAAAAGGCGGTATATAAATAAAGATTACTTACTACTACTACTTACAAGAAGCTGCTAGCTAAACTCCGTTAGCATCAGAGCCCGCTTGCTACTCTAGTGGGAAGAGAGGTGCGTCTAGAGAACGTGCGTTTCAGCGTTGCCGGTCTGAAAGCACCATAAAGATTCGTCGTGACATAAATCACAAAAGAAACATTATTTCTACTTTCTCTTACATTACACTGAATCTAGTACAAATTAATGCAGTTTTAAGCCCGACTTTTGAAAAATTCTCTTTAAAAATTGTCTGGAAAAACCCAACTTTCTAGTGTCAATGTAGCCTGGTCGTACCACACCATAGTACAAATGACATTTCGTACCAAGGTCTGGAGGCGCGCCATTGAGCTCCGTTTACAGGTGGGAGGGGTTAACTCCTTTTGCAGATTGAAACGACTGGATCTGAGTTTACCGTCACGTATGTAATGCGCCCGAGTGTGTTGTTAGCATTTAGCCTAGCCATCTCCTTTGCCGCTAACGGAGCCCGTGGGGAGTAGCGCCGCAATTTCTTCTAGCGATTACATTTGCTAAACATTCCTACTGCTTTGGCTTCAATTTCTTGATAGAACCAGACTGGATTACTTTACTATCGCATTTTACGCCATTACCAAACTACAACCTTCCTGTTTGACGCAGACTCTTGATGTCACCCACAAATAAATACAACACCCTCCTTCTGCGCTCGCTGGTTGGTCGGTCGAAATTCAACCAATTGTAATCGCTAACACAGGGACTAGACCCAGACGTTACATGCAGTGAAATGGTGATTGAGCGGAGTAGACGGATGGCTAAGGCCAGGCTAGTGTCAATGGTGTGAATTGGAAATCGCAGACTACAGGTGAAAATTTGAATAGTTCAAACGTTCATTTATTTTTGTATTTCAACTTAATAATGTGACTATAACTAATTAATTTATGATTTAGACTTATTACACTAAATATATTCTATTTAGAAACCACTTTCTCTAAAAATCTCTCTCATAATCCATCATTTTAATGCCATATTTTCCTTTGTTTTATAGACAACAAAGACTATGACGCTTACCTGTCCTACACCAAAGTGGATCCGGACCAGTGGAGCCAGGAGACCAGGGAGGAGGAGCGCTTTGCTCTGGAGATCCTCCCAGACGTCCTGGAGAAACATTACGGATACAAACTCTTCATTCCGGATCGAGACCTCATTCCAACAGGAAGTAAGTCTGAGCAGGTCTCCTTCACTCACGACTAAACCACACTTTTGTCCTGTGTTTTGTGGCGTGTATTTCATTGTCACTGTCATTCGTTGCATATTTTTGTGTTATGTGAGCGTAGAAGAAAAGCAAAAATATAAAATGTTTTTCAAAATAGATTCAATCTTTCATTCAGTAAGAATCCATTTTTAAATGTAGTCTTTTCTCTTGCTTTCTATTACTTGTTGTTAATACATATAGAATCAGAATCAGATTAATTTTGTTGCCATTGTGAGTAACAGGAAGTCACAAACGTGGAAACTGCTTTGGTTCTTGGTGCAAACGAGTTATAAAAGTAGAACATACTGTATATAAACAGGAATTGGAGAATATAAAAGAGGTCCGCCCAGAGTCACCAAGAGTCAGTTTTAGAATAGCGACAACATTTTCTAAACAAACTAGTGAACAGATATCTCTCACTCCTGAAATGAAATACACGGCTGAACATTCAAAGTGGCTTTTATAGACGTGGGAACTGTACATATGGAAGTTTCATCCGTACAATCTTTCACACATCAAAACATACTACCTTTGCAGTATATGGACTTGAGTGTCCTTGTGGCTGGTTCTATGGGCCTTACAAAACGGAAATTGAAAAATAGACAGGCTGAACACACAAGCTATGAAGACAAAAGAACATACAATATCCGATGTCTATACACTAGAGAGACTCCGACCATGGAAGTAGCAGCAGCCTCGAGATCTGTGGCATTGAGCATACCGACTCAAAACACGACTTCAAAGAGGGTCTTACTGGATATATACTTTAAACGCCACTCAATTCCCAGGCTTAAATGGAAAGTTGAACTGTTCTCCTCTTCTGTAAGACCTTTTTGAAGAGAATATTGAACTTTGAACTTTTTTTTTGTTTTACTTTGAGACCATTTAATATATATTTTTTGGGTACATTGTAATGCAAATAGGTGTGTACATAATATTTTCTCCAGTTTTTAAAACCATGTGACTTCAGGCCCACCCACTGATCATGTGACCAGCACCATCCTGTTTTAACCCTGCACTGAGGCACACCTCTCGAGTAAGCCCTGGAGAAGGTGTCAGGAATAAACAAAGGCCAGTAGAACGTGTAACATAATTTAACCTCTTTTGCCCTGTTTAATAAAAGCTTTTTAAAAAATTTGCAACTTTTGAGTGCCTCAGTCTTCTGTCTGAATTTTGAACATTGGTCCCTCCACTGAAGCACACCATAAGTTTACTTTTTTCCTTTTTCTTCCTTTTCCTTACTTTATTTATACATCCAAAAAGCACTCCAGCCCTGTCCACTGTTTTAAAAAGTTATACAAGTAAAAATAGAATAAGGCGTGCATACGAATAAATACAAAATCAACATAACATTTATTCAAATAGAGATATGTGACTTTTTTATATGATTTTGACTTTAATAACAATTAATCCTAAATAAATGAAATATAAATGCATCAATATTGTTTTTTGTTATTTTTGAGCATTACATATGGAACCAAAGGCTTTATTTTTCACTAACCCAGCCATGTGAAAGTGTAGGCCCAAGTCATAGGAAGTCTCATTTATCTATTTGGATCTCCATTAGCTTCCTGGGGTCCACATCACACAAGGATCAAACATACAGGATAAAAATCATTTACGATACAAAATAAGACTAAAACTGAATACACAACATCCTTAAAAATTAATTAAAGAATTGTTGAGTCTGAAGAATATATCCAGTCTTAAACCGAAAAACAAATGTTGAACAAATGTAGTCCTCGCCCATGCATTAAATTACATAGATTTTTTCAATTTGTCCCTTTTTTGATAATACATTTACATATTTGATTATTTATTCATTTATTTTTTATAATTATTTTCGCAAAATTGGACTTTAATAACAAATAATCCTACAGTAAATTAAATATAAATGCATGATTATTGTTGTATTTTTGAGTGCTACATCAAACTCAAACACATCTAATTTTCAGCCGAAGCAAATCCCTATAGTTGTTGACTTCCTGTTACTTACAATGGTAATAAATACATTCTATTTTTAAATATATCGTATTGAAAGTCCCCCGTTTGCAACCCAGTGAACGTGTCTGCCTGAGTTATAGGAAGAATATATAACGTCTTAAACCAAAAAACTGCTCATATGATGTTTGGCTGGTGCGTTGAACAAATCTAGTCCTCGTCCTGTGCATTCATAAATTCCGTCTGAACATATTCTCATGCGCTTCTGTTTAGTAGTCCGTCAGCGGCGCAGCGGTACGCTCGCTCTAGTTAGAAGCGATACTGCGTTTGTACTCAGGGCTTTCGTGAGGAACAGATAAAACGCAAACACACATCCGACTCGGGTCCAGACAGAATGAAACATCAGTGCGAGAAAGAGAGGCGCCTCCGAGCCCCACGTCGACTCCAGCTGCCTCTCTCCTTTAATCAAACTAAAATGGCCGCCGGTGCCGAGTTGGAATCGCTGTAGATGAATGTCCAATCAGGGAACACGGTTTTGTGATTAATCATAGTTGAGATAAGAGAGGGCTGAGGGTTGTGTTGTGTTGTGTTGTGTGTGTTTGTGTGTGTGCCTGTCTTCCTCCTGTGACTTCACTGTCTTAAATGTTTATGTCTAGGTCTCACCAATGAGCATTACCCGGATGACACCCGGCTCTTTGGAGGTATTTGTCATCTTTTCCCTTTTGTATCAACTGCTGTCATTCCTTCCCCTCCCTTTCTCAAAGACATTCAGTGTGTTTTAGGCCCTGTCCACACGAAGTCAAGCTCAGGCCTAAACGCAAAAATACTTTATCAATCCAGTGTATCGTCCATACGAGGCCGGCGTTTTGGGGGGGTGTAAACGAACATTTTTGAAAGTAGGTCCCAGAGTGGAAAGATTTCAAAACTCCGTATATGCCGCTCCGTGGTTACTGCCTCTCCGCAATGTATCTGAGACGCTTGCGTCATTGCCCCGCCTCTTGTTAAAGCACGCATGCGCCGCACTCAGAAAATAATGACAACAACAATGTAGCTTGTTGGTTTTGTAATCCAGTGTGACCCGAAGCAACAGTTCAACCTCATCGTCCGTCCATACTAATGTAGTACCAGCTCGCCCACTCGCCATGTTGTCTGTTTACAAAATTCTGCGCATGCCCAGTTCCCGTCACGGAAGTTTGGGCTTGATCCCGTCATTGCGTCACAGCGCCACCAACAGGTCTGGCATAGTTTCACAGCGTTTTCAGGCGTATTGACTACATTCATATGGACGCACACATTTACTGAGCTAACTCCGTGTTTACAGAAAAAGTTTCTGAAATTATAAGCGTTTTGTCTTTGTGTGGATATAGCCTTATTTTAAGGACAATAAAAATCAAGACAGACAAACAATAGATATATAAGCATAACAAAAAAAACACAAAGCAAGGTGTTAAGGACAACAAAATAGAGATGTTAAAATGGTAACTAAAATCATGGTTTATTAGGATGACAAAATAGGTAAAAAAGGTAACAAAATAGGATGAAATATCTACAGAACAGAGTAAATTAATAACCTAGTAAACGAGTAAGCAATTGACAAAACCAGAAGTGTAGCCTAAACTGACTCCAGCTCCCATGAGCCGCGGAAGATTGGCAGTTTATATGGGCGGGTCCTCCAGGTGAGCGCGTGCTGATAGGAGGACTGCCTCAGCTGCTGCCCAATCAGCACCCAGGCATTGCAGTCAGTCAGCTCCAGGTGGGGAAACGACTGGCCAATCACAGCCCAGGACTCACGAGTGTGGTCTTCTGAAAAAGGGAGGAAACACAAAGACACGCCATGGGAGAAACTAAAGTGATCCCCAAAATAGGGAGTTAGGGGCTGTGGGCCGTAACACAGGGACAAACAGCAAAGGGCAAACAAAGACACCAAAGAAACATACAAAAACAAAAAACAGACAAAACACATTTTTAACATTTGTTCTTTGTATTAGTTTATATATTTATACAGATGGCAAATAACCAAGTGCCTTTTGGTCTCGTGGTGAGATGAAGGAGGACCCAAAAAAGCCTGAATGCAACAAAAAAAGAAAACAATTTTAATGATGATGATTAGATAAAATTCCAAGGTGAAAACAAACTCAAAAATCCTGATTAACACAGAAACCAGGAACACAGGTCAGACAAAGACAATGGACCAGCAACAAATAGGGATGAGCACAGGTACAAATAGACACAGAGGCACAGGGCAAAGACTTTAGGGCGGGGCAGACGATGAACACAGGGGAACAGGTGTGAGACTAAAACAAAACCACAGAGAACAAGTACCAAAATAACACTTCAGTACAGTACTTTACAGGTATTTAGGGCGATTTTGCCACAAGTCCCACCTCTCTAGTTTTATTTTGATCCTGTGTCGTTCTGCATTTTTTAATCAGGACCTCTATATTTATACAGGTGGCAAGTAGCTAAGGCCCTGTCCACACGAAGTCAAGCTCAGGCCTAAACGCAAAAATACTTTATCAATCCAGTGTATCGTCCATACGAGGCCGGCGTTTTGGGGGGGTGTAAACGAACATTTTTGAAACCAGGTCCCAGAGTGGAAAGATTTCAAAACTCCGTATATGCCGCTCCGTGGTTACTGCCTCTCCGCAATGTATCTGAGACGCTTGCGTCATCGCCCCGCCTCTTGTTAAAGCACGCATGCGCCGCACTCAGAAAATAATGACAACAACAATGTAGCTTGTTGGTTTTGTAATCCAGTGCGACCCGAAGCAACAGTTCAACCTCATCGTCCGTCCATACTAATGTAGTACCAGCTCGCCCACTCGCCATGTTGTCTGTTTACAAAATTCTGCGCATGCCCAGTTCCCGTCACGGAAGTTTGGGCTTGATCCCGTCATTGCGTCACAGCGCCACCAACAGGTCTGGTATAGTTTCACAGCGTTTTCAGGCGTATTGACTACATTCATATGGACGCACACATTTACTGAGCTAACTCCGTGTTTACAGAAAAAGTTTCTGAAATTATAAGCGTTTTGTCTTCGTGTGGATATAGCCTATGTTTTCACTTCAGTATTTACAGCTATTTAGGGCGATTTGGCCGGAAGTCCCGCTGCCTACTCCTCACTTTTGCTGCTCTTCTAATTTCAGCTAAATTACAAAGACTGGTGTTATCAGCAAACCGGCTACGTACATATTCTGATATCTACTGCACAAAAGTGGAATAGACCTAGAGAATAGAGAATAGAAACTGAAAAGAATAGAACTGGTATTCTTCTTGGTATCGGCCCCTTTTTACTTGAACAGTTATTTTTACTCCATACTTTTTAAACGCAAACATTTATACTTTCTATTCCTTTTTTCATCGGTAAGATGTATATTTACTTTGCATATAACACAAAACATGTGTCGCGAATGGTTAGTCATGCTTCTAAATGAATTACTTCCCTATGCTTAGCCACCCCTCTACGTTCAGCTTAAGTTCTTCATGTTTTGTATATTTATATTTTCTCTGGTGGGATAAAACATTTAACAGTTTAATGTTGTTTAAGGGCGTCAAATGCAGATTACTTTGTTTTTTTATTCTAGTAACTATACTTTTACTTAAGAACCAACAGAAAGTATGTTGTATGCAGCCAGTTCTGTTTTCGAGCTGCATAATGAATGATAATGAGTCTTTTGAAATCTCAATTCTGATTTAATACAGAAAAAGACCTAGACCTCGCAGACGTGGCTCTTATCGCCAAAATTGCTGCAAACCTGTAGAGCCAAATCACCCGTGTATAACAGATTGAGAAATAATCAAAATAAAGAGTGGGTGATATTTGTGGACCTGCATGAGTCACTCTAAAACCACTTTGTGAAAAGTAATTAAGGAAATGAAAACAATGATAAGGCAGTTAAAAGCTCTAAAGTGTTTCGCTTTAATCGTAATCTTTAACCACAACAACAGTGTTGGTGGAAATGACAGCAGAGCCACTCCTCCTCATGTTTCCCCGTCCTGTCCCTGTGCTCATGTGTCCCTGTGCTGATGTTACCTGTGCTCATGTGACCTGGTCGTCCTCGTCCCGTTGCTTCATGCTTCAGTGTGTTTCAGTAACTGTGGTGCAGCGTTGTACTGTCTGTGTTACATGTGTGTGTTTGACTTTAACTGAAGTGTGTCCTTCTTCATCGCTGCAGCGTACATCGAGGACGTGGCCCGCTGCGTGGACCAGAGCAAGCGCCTCATTATCGTCATGACCCCAAACTACGTGGTGCGACGAGGCTGGAGCATCTTCGAGCTGGAGACCCGGCTGCGGAACATGCTGGTGACCGGAGAGATAAAGGTCATCCTGATCGAGTGTGCGGAGCTCAGAGGAATCATGAACTATCAGGAAGTGGAAGCTCTCAAACACACCATCAAAACCCTCACCGTCATCAAGTGGCACGGCCCCAAGAGCAACAAGCTCAGCTCCAAGTTCTGGAAGCAGCTGCAGTACGAGATGCCCTTCAGGCGCACCGAGCCCATGCTGAGCCACGAGCCGGCCTTAGACGTCAGCGAGCAGGGGCCCTTCGGAGAGCTGCAGACGGTCTCTGCCATCTCCATGGCGGCCGCCACCTCCACCGCCATGGCCACGGCTCACCCAGAGCTGCGCTCGTCCTTCCACAACAGCTACCACACCACCATGAGGCAGAAACACTACTACCGCAGCTACGAGTTTGACATTCCCCCCGGAGGCACCCTGCCCCCCCTGTCCTCTCTGGGGAACCAGCACACCTACTGCAACATCCCACTCACACTGCTCAACGGACAGAGGCCCCCAGGAAAGAGCCGAGAGCACAGCTTAGAGGAGGCGCACGCCAACAACGCCATGCTCCCCCTGCTGCCCCGCGAAACCAGCATCTCCAGCGTCATCTGGTAGAAGAGCACAGGCTCCAGGGGCCAGGGACCAGACTCCAGGCTCCAGTGACCAGGGGCCAGAGACCAGCGTGTGACAGGAGAGAAGCCCTCAGCTCTGACTGGAAACAACGGTTTGCAGATCTTTCGTATGTCGGCCGCACCTGTGCGCAGGGGCATTTTCTATGTGGAAAGACAGGAAACAGTGTGATGTCTCCGAGCATCACAGACAGAGGAAACGGAGAGGACTTGAAGTTGGTGCACACTAATATGATCCATCTCCACGTGCATACATTCAACTAAAGGAAAACAGGGTCCTGTACATATAATTCAATTTCTTTGTAGCATTAGTGTTTTCCTATGTTGTCTTTTCTTTTCGTCATCTGTTACATTCACTGTTGTAGGACTTTGCTTTTTTTTTGACATTTTTTACCAGTATTTTTTAAGTCACACATTTTTTTCTATTTTCTTTTTTTCACATTGTGTAGTTTACATGAACTTTGACACCTTCAGAATTGCCTGGACAATACTTGTGAAAGGTGTTTGTTGTTTCAAATAATTCTCTCTTTAAAAAATAATAGAATATGCAAAAAGCCGGAGGAGCAGGCCGAGTGGAGCGGTTGGGAGGCAGTGCTAGTCCTCTCCAATCACAGACTCTCCCATTTGTCTAAAGCTTCATATTTTCTATTCAAAAAAACAGCCTTGCTGTTTTAGAGTGATAGTGAAATGCCTCACCTTAAAAGAAATCTGTTGATTATTTTGAAAAGAAGTCTATTTTTATAACAGAAAAGAGTTTGCTTGAGAAGTCACATTTATTTGCATTTCATTGATCATCAAATGGTCGTGTACACGTGCCGCTGATTTTGTACACTGCAACGTGAGTTTGCTTTGTTCAGAGATTACGGTGGATTTTGAGACGCCGATAAAACTCTGTCATCTACTCTCCGACATCCAGAAGTACAGCCTTCCCAACGTTTTGATTTGACCAACATCCTCATCCTCCCCTTCGCTTCATATGGATACTTTATGTTTAAGGGAAGAGAAAATACGTTTGTGTTTTGAAAGACTTTTTAAATATATTTGAAGGTGTGATTTTTGAGTATGCATAGCAAATAGATATGTATTCTATATAATATAGATATTTATATAAATATATAAACACAATTTTCACTTGGAAAGAAATGTCTATCTTTATAGAAACACAATCATTATCAGTTGTCTTTACTTTCGCACTGCACATTAAAACATTGATTTTTCAGTTGATGCTTCTTTCTTGTGTCCTTGTTTGACCGGTTTCTGTCAGATCAGAAAACAGAACGCAGGACGCATTACACTCAAATATTCATTAGTTATAGCCTGACCTATTTAGTGAGGACTCAAACACACTCGCGATAGATAGACCTTTTGAGTTTGTGTTTTGGCTGAAGGCGGGAACAATCATCTTGTGCAAGTTGTGGCAGGGCCGCTCTGAAGAACCCGCCTCTCCTGCTGCTCTCAGAGGAAAACTCACAGTAAATAACTACAGGTTCAATTAGTTTTAATCCTGCAACTGCACCGAAGCCTGAGGGACAGAACGCAGAGGGTTTGTACACTTCTCTCATTAGTGAAATGTATGTCTGCACAATTAATCGTACTATTATATGAAAACATCAATATTTTGTATGCATTAAAACTGTAGCATGGGACTGTGTTAAATGTGTAATAAGTCAAATCACCTGCAAATTATATACACCTGTATCTTTAAACCTGCGATGGGGAGGGAGGATTTGTGTTTTCTTGCAGCCAAACACTGCCCTCTCCTGGGGATTTGGCGCAACTACAAGGGTCTTTGTTGACGCCTGTAAATACTGAAACTGTTTTCCCCCAAAAGCCCACGGGACCAAAGAAGAGAAAGTAGGGCGAAGAGAAGCCGCGCACCACGACGCAGCGTAAAAGGCAAGTTAAACACGGAAACAGAAGTAAGAGGCTTCAGTGTGGATTTGTGGCTTTGTGTAGAAGATAATGACAGCCGAGTTACTCAAGCCAGACAAGTTTAGATTCATGAACAAGTACTGATGGATTTCATAATACAGATGTGGCGAGTAACTAAGTATTTTTCCTGGTTTACTCGACTGCTTATTTTCTGACATTTTTTTTTACTTTGTCTTGTTATTAAACTCCAACATCTATTTATAAAGAGCGATGGTTCAGTCACTTTGCAGGTGACGACAAAAAAATAAGAAAGTGTGTGTCCGAGCGAGGTACGTTTATTAATTGCGGTTAGCCATGCTTCTAAATGCATTGCTTAACTGTGGTTAGCCCTGCTTCAAAGGTCATTAACTGTGTGTTTATCCGCACAAATAATCAATGAACTACGATGATCAACTGTGGTTAGCCCTGCATGCTTCGAAGTTCATTCATGTTTGTGGTTAGCTGTGCTTCTAAATACATTAATCAATTGTAGTTACCTTTGCTCAGTTGAGTTAATTAATTTACTGTGAGCAGACAATTCCTCAGATGTGACGTCTTCAGCGTCAGTTTTTTTGTCAGGAAAAGCGCGTGTGACCTATGAGAAAATAAGTCCTGTCATACTTCCACACAGTACCGGTGTAAAAGGAGTTCATGCGGGTACCAGGTATCTCTTTCTCTGTAAAACTCTTCTTCCCTTCAGTCCAAACCCTGGTCCTGCTTCAGTTTCCGGGGAAGAGCTCATAAAGAGAGAGGGGATGTGCACCACGGGGTTGGGGCTTCCGATTCTCTTGCGCATGTAGTGCCATGTTCTGTCGGAGGAGGGCGCTAGAGGACCACTAACGCTATAAAGCAGCCTTTAAAGATAAACTAGCAATGCAGTGGTTTATATTATTATTCACACGTGTGTTGAAAACATTAGTGATGATATTCAACATGTTCATCAATTATGTCTGGACCAGCGGCAGACACAGTGAATTTCACACAGGTCTATATTTTAAATCTCCAGAGTTCTGACAAAGCACAAGGACTCACATCTGACTCTGCCTCAGAAGACTGAAAGGACCTGCGTCATCTCTCTCCGCGTGTCTTTGTTGTATATTTGCTGAACAGATGCTTGATTGCAGATGATGCAGGCCTACGTTATTACATCATACATAAGAATAATAGCAAACAATGTTGATATTATTTTCTTTATTTAAAAAAATAATTCATTTATATTTACATTAAAAACAATAACTTATGTTTTCCGGCAGCTGCATTGTTTTCCTCGTAAATATCTTTCCTCTTTTGTCACGCGCACTTACTCCGAGTCCGTCACTTGTAAATCCAGCCCTCAGGCTCCTAAACAACAGACCTCCTTTGGCCCTGTGCTCCTACTTTCCGTAGAACATCTCCATGAGCACCTCCTCAATGTTCACAGCGCCAATGACGGGTCTGAAGAAAAGCTGCGCCACCACGGGCGGGCTGATGGCACGCAGCATGGACAGCGCGATGAGCAGTTTGGCAAAGCGCGTAGAGTCCTCCCGGTGCACCAGGCGCACGTGCTCATTCAGAGCTTGGTGCGCCTCCCGCCGCAGGGACTGGATGTAGTGTAAGCACCGCAAGCCCTCCACATCTGGAACAAACAGAACACGCTGCATTCACACCCTGCACACCCTTTGGTACATACTATATACCATAATGTAGGCTGCTTCATTAAACTACATTCTAATGTAGAGTATTCTCTATTCGACTACAGAACACCATCTATTGTAGGCTACATTATTAGGCTACATTATTATGCTGGCTACTATAATAAACTACAGAATACCATATATTATAGGCTACTTTATTAAGCTAAACAGTTTAATTCAGTTGTTCCATTTACAGTGACGCATAGACTTTTCACTTAACTTTTAAACACACGTTTAGATGTATGTCTACAGCTCAGTCCTGCTTATCAGCAAGTACACGAGTTAATATTGATTTAAAGCTGATATATGAGGTATTTGCGTGGACAGACCCACCTGGGTTGAAGAGCACGGCCCCCTTCAGATACGCGTACTCTTTGGTGCTGATATCCACACTCCAGCAGGTCTTTAGAAAGGCTTTGATGCTGTCGATGTCCACCACAGACACCCCGGCGGTGGCTCTGCTCTGGCCGCTCAGCAGCTCACTGTGGCGGTCTGGCACTCCTGTGAGGATGCGCTGTAACATGCTGGGCTCCACGGTCTCGGTGGTGTCAAAGTCCACTCGGTCCTGGGCTAGTCCCAGCACCAGCAGAGGCGCCCAGCCGCTGCGGATGAGCGACAGCTGCTCTCCCTCTGGTAGCTCCCTGAAGCACGGAACGTTCTTCACGAAGCGCAGCGTCTTGACCAGAACCGCGGACGCGGCTTTGCAGGTGAGCTGCGGGGAGCGGAGCACTCCTCTGCGCCGCGTAGAGCCGCAGGAGCACGGCTGCTGGCGCGGGGACTGGGCCACCGAGGACAGGCTGCACGGGAGCAGCTGTTGCGCCTGCTGCTGCTGCTGCTGCTGAAGCTGCTGCTGCGGGGGGTCCTCCGGACCGCTGCTCAGGCTGTCGCTCTTCAGGATGTTGTAAAGAATACTGTGGTTGTGTCGGATGGCGGCGCCGCGGCAGACGCAGCCCTCCTGCGCTGACATGGCTCCTACATGAGCCCGGGCGGAGGTCACACAGGAGCTGGTCGCTGCTGATGGCCCCGGACTGAAGGGCGCCGTGGAATAATAACTCCCGTGTGTCCTGGAGTTTAAGAGCTGTTTGAGAACGCGCGGATGAGGCTCCCACACTCATGCACCGCCTCCTCCTGCTGATCCCGCCCCTCTGACCACACAGCAGCAGCAGCAGCAGTACTGCTGAACTAAAGTGATCCATAATAATAATGCATCGGTTTTATATAGCGCTTTTCTGGACACTCAAAGACGCTTCACATGTGTCATTATTCATTCACTCCATACACGGTGGTGATAAACTACTACTGTAGCCACAGCTGCCCTGGGGCACATTGACAGAAGCGAGGCAACCAGTATGCGCCATCGGCCCCTCCGACCACCACCATCCATTCACACACACACCAGACTCATTCTAGGCAATGGGGGTGAAGTGTCTTGCCTAAGGACACAACGGCAGTTTGGCACTTTACAGCCGCAGCCGCCCCACTGTGGCTGGTATTCCCAGAGGTTAAGTGTCTTGCCAAGGACACAACGACAGTAGTCAGTGGGAGTCGATGGTGAAAGTCTTGAGCGGGGCTTGAACCCATGACCTTCTGGCTCAAAGGCCAAAGCTCTACCAACTGAGCTACTGCCGCCCGTCCATGCACTGTCAACACGACGTACACCATATACATGCATATACATTCTTCATGTCTAAAAAAGAAAGGATATCTATGTCCTTTTTATATTATTGGTCGCCTTTGACTATAGCTATAAGACAGACCGGAGCTGAACACATTGTGACAACATTTCAAAACCACTAGAGTCAACAATGAACCAGAACCACAAATATCACTACAACAAATGAAATGCCTCTTGTATATAAATGCAAACCTTTATAATATTTTCATAGGCTGCCTATAAGCTTATAATTGATTTGTTTAAAATTAATAATTTATTTCCTCATTTTTATGTATTAGTCTATCCTGTAAAACTTTAAGCAGAGTAGGAAAACTACCCTTGTGGAAAAATGACAAGGAGAAGCAGATAAGAAATCAGTGCCCACTTCTATTCCCAGCATCACCTTGACTCTGTGGCAGTGCTGTTTATCACCAGGCTGTCGGTAAAAATATAGGGCATGGACGGATCTGAAGGCTTAATTATTTTAGGGACAATTTATATTATTTTCTATTAGAAAGAAGTAGGAAGGAGCTGAGCTGTGAAGGCCAGTCGCCAACCTTGACTCGGACACACTGGTATTGATTTAACCGTGAAAACAGGAGCTGGTGAATTATGATGTCATGACTCAGTGCTCTCCTTCCCTCTGTCACTGAAGGTGGAGGAGAGGGGGATCAGATGCTGCTTATGTGGAAGAATCCAATGAACTTCTGATTTCACTTCTGTTGATGCTGCTGTTACAGGTGAGAGTGCTTTGATGGGGTAAGACAGTGTAATTCATCAACAAAATCTATGGGCTAATTACTCATCGTGCAGAGCTTTCACTAAGGTGGTATTACAACAGTAGTCATCTCAGAGGACTTAACAGAACCGTTGAAATGGCCAACACAGATCAGCGAATCAACAGTTAAAACACAAGAAATACACATAGGTATTGGTCCATAGGGAGAGACCAATGTCCATAAATGTTGCAGAATGTTAGAGTGTCCTGGATCATCACCACAGTCCTTAAGACCCACTAACAGTCTAACAGACACTCCTGCATGGGCAAGGAAAAACCGCGGGAGATCCACATTGAGAGAGGGATCCACTCCCACGGACGGATGGGCTGTAAATAGTGCGTGGCCAAGCCTTTAATTGTGGCTTGTATTTTATTCATTTGAGAGATAAAGGAGGAACAATGCATAATGAATAAGATTTAACAAATGTTCAAATATAACAGAAAACAGACAATCATAATATTAGCATTAAATGAATAGGTAACCCAACGACATCATGTTATTTTTGACAGCACAGCAAAAGGAAAAGGCCCAATGTGAAGCTGCAGTGAGTGTGAAGTGGAGACGGAGCTACTGAACAGATAGAAAACTGATCATTCATATACGTTGGCTTATAACAAAGCAGCAAAGATAACATCAATGTACTTGCATGGGAATAGTGGTTCTATATTTTCTTTCTGATGCATAGTAGTGGATTAAAAAACGAGTTTGAACACGGCCCTGCACCTTTCTCATCTCCCTGTCATATAGAAACTTCAGGACTCAGTTTTTTTGTCTCAGAGACGAAATGTGTCCAAAACAACTCAGAAAAATCCATTAAGGAGGAAGAATATCAGCACCATACAACTGGCACGTGTGGTTTGTTTGTATCCGCGGGTGGAAAGCTCGCAAAATCTCGCACTTCCTCTTTCTAGCCCTATAGATCCAGGACCTAAGCTACAGAACAGGGACCAAGGCAGCTGTTGTAGAACGTGGCCAGGTCCGGTGCAGGACTGAAGCAGCTCCCAGGAGGGTCAGGCAGGGCAGTCCGCAGGTGTAAATGGAGGAGGCCAGGTTCAGAGATCCCGTCATTGCGTCATGAAACAGACAATGGGACAACGGGTGAATAGCAATGAACAGACTACAGTCAAAATCCTAATAATGCTAAACAGATAAAGTAGGAAGGAGGAGAGGATAGTGCTCAAGTTACCATACTTCTCCCTGCAAACTGACTTCCTATGTAGCTTGACTGACAATCTAAGATTTTTAGCCTTCCCTGAGTCTCACATTCCTAACCATATGCTAAACTAAAGAGAACTGTTGGACTTGAATGTGGAGACCGTGTCTGCTTCCTTAACGTGGATGGGAAGCTGATTCCACAGTAAAGGAGCTTGGTAGCTAAATGCTCCTCTGCCGCTCTAGGGGTAATAATGGGCTCAAAATTCAACGTACTTTTTTTAAAGCCACATATAAAAACAATGCCTCGCTCATCTCTAGACTCTGCAAACATGCTGCATCATACAGAGGAAGGAAAAGTGTTCAAACCCCTAGAACTTTTCCACATTTTGTCACATTACTACTACAAACATGAAGATATTTTATAGACATTCATTGTTTACATGAAAAGAAAAAAGTGGAAAATAATTGTGACATGAAAAAAAAAACATTGTGTATGTATATGTTCCCAGAGATATGCATCAGTTTTACGTAAAGCTATTTTGGACATTGGGTATTTTTCCCCTATTTTCCATTTTCTCCTCCACCAACATTTCAAAAGGCAGCAGCTTGAGTCCTGACAAGAACCCGGAAGTCCTCTTAAATAAGTCCTCGTCTCGGGTCTCTGCACTGGCTTCCTGTGTCTCCCGCTGGGACTTTGAGGAGCACAGGGACTGGACCCAGGACTAAACATGGGGACTCAGCATGGTAGATTTACGCGGCTAATTTCTGGAACTGAAAATGTGAGACAGGCTTTTACTCCAACAACTTTCAAATTCAGGTAAAACAGTTCAAGTAAAACAGTATAAGTGTAAAGAATATTATTTGATTTGAGAAATTAGCTGAAACTAATTAATGGTCAATACTTTGTTTTAAAGGTAGGAAACTGCTCGGAGTGTGATGTCACGGTACAATGACATCATACATCATTTCAGGACTGACAGGAGATTTTAGACCAGCGTTGTCAAACTAATGTTGGTTGGGGTCAAATTTAAAAACTGGTTGGAGAAGTTGGGGCTTGAGTTTGTATAATATTTTCTGGTAGGTTTGGATTCTAACTTAACAAACTTATTCAATCATATGGTTGTTTTCCTGATGTTTCACTTCAGGGGCCACTAAAATTGGACCTGTGGGCCGGATTTGGCCCTTGTGCATGAATTGGACATGCGTGTTTTAGACAGGGGGCGTTGTTACATGTCTGTGCCAAATGTTCCTGATATTAGCGTGGATTGATATATAAATAAAAGAACTCCAGGCCTGTTTTTGATGAGGGAATAATGTTGTAACATGATTAAAAGCTCAAGGTAGATTTTCATTTGAGTCATTAAAGGGATAAGACATTTGCAGTGAAACTTGAGGCATATATACAGTATATTTAAGCACTCTAACCAGACTACTTTCTCTTACTCTCTGCTTCTTTCCTGGTGCGCAGGAGACACTCTTTGCTGCGCTTCAAAAGAGGATGACCCAAAGTGCAGGGCCACATTCATACGGCAGCAGTAACTAGGGGCCTATGCCTGTGAGCGTTCTGAAGGACAGTGCTGTGAATGAAGTCAGGATGAAAAACTTTCACAGTGGAGCTACAACATTGTTCAGAGGCAGAAATGTCTTTGTATTGATTTAGCCGAGAGAGATTTTTCACATGTTTATATCAAGGACAAGCACGGGATAAACAGCCTTCGCTCAGCCTGTCTCTTAGGTTGCTCAAGGCCTAACAGCACAGGTTATAAAAATCCTTCTGTCTCAAGGAGAGATTACATTATATCTTGTTGCAAAAGCTCCAAGAGAAAAGATGGGGCTTTGTGTGGCCCAACCCCTGTCATTTTATTATAAATGTACATGTCTCTCTGCTTCCGCTTCTACATGTACTTTACTTGTACCTTACACAAGAGTGATGCATGCTTGAGCATTGTCTTAGGCTGGTAAAGCTTCCAGACCATGTGCCTGCAGCGTGGTTGGCACTTTCCTCTCATTGGAAAGGTCCTGTGGGGTCGATGCTCCGGTTTCCACTACCTGCTTGTGTACATGTCTCTCCATGGCCTCGCACCAAAGTACATCTGTGACATGTTTTTGCCGCATGAACCAACTAGACTGCTGATGCCCTGTCACAGATGCAGAACACAATGATAGTAATATAGTAACATAACATATAATAAACAAAACTCATAAATAACTAAATCCAGCATGAAACAGGAATCTAAAATCAAACCACAGGGACAAGAATACAATGGGCTGTATGCACGCGAGGCGTAACGTCATTTCCTGTAAATTTACTGTAGAAGATTCGTTTACTTCCTGTCTATGCTTGCTCTATGGCACTGTGGTAAGTTGTAGTGAAATTGTTTAGTAATTAAGTTGAGACTGACCCAAAAAAGTGGACGTGCTTTCTCTCTGAGGAATAGCTTTGACTGTGGCCACTCAGAGAGATTTGGTAACTTTACAAAAGTACAATGACAGCACAACAAAAGAGCTCTGCTGTTTCCCAAAATGCCCAGAATCCTCAAAGTTGAATTCCTGTTTGAGCATTATTTAGGAAACTCGTGTGAACATTTGGTGAACTCCATCTCAGCCACAGTCAAAGTCGAAGTCAAGCTGATCCATGCGCACCGGAAGTTGAGTGTCGCCTAAAACCCGGAAGTGGTGCTTGTATAGAGCTCATTGACAGAGAGGAGCACAGGGTTTACACACAGGGATACACAGGTGAAACACAAAATGAATTCTATTCTGGTGATCGCATGGGGAGTTCCAAGTCGTTTCTACCCTTCATACCTGTTTAACCATATATTTTCTTCTTAATATATTATTTCACATTCAAATTTATGAATGCCCAAAAAGAATGCATAATAATTCTTCTTTATATATATAAACCCACCATGCGGAGAGAAAATGTATTTTCTCCACATGTTGTACAGTAAGTAGTAAAGATTTTAAATCAGCTCTTCAAGTCTCTCCATGGCCGCGCACCAAAATATATACGTGATTAGTTACCGGTATAGTGGTAAACCCAGGTAAAAAATTGACTATAACATTTACCGTCCTAATTTTAAAAAAAAACAATTATCTCAGTGGATTTACCGCGCCCACAGTGTATGGCTCTGTGAGCCTTCCCAGGGCATCTCTGAGGCTGCTGAAGTTGCCACGCGGGTGCACTTTTATGCTGGAATCATGAACAAAGGAGGAGACAACAGCCCTTAGGACATTTATGAGCCTTCAGAGGACAAAGTATGAAGCTTAGCCATATTTTGGATTTTTAATGAATGCCGAGGGACATCTGATGGAAGACAGTTACTCTGTCCGCAGGACAGCATCACCCGCAACAACTCTATAGCCAATGCTAGGTTAGATAACGCTGAGGCTCTAGCTGAAATAGATGATGCGGGGGGACTTCGTGTTGAGCCTGGCTGCAACTAGCTGACTATTAGCAGCTAATACGCTAAGCTAAGCAGGTAAACAGTATGAGCGTTGCTGAAGGCAGAACAATAACATGCACTTCGTTTGATTTAAACCATTTTAGTGACATTTACTTTTTCTCGCCCTGACGACTCTCTGTGCAGCGCTTTCTGTTTCCACCAGAGAACGCCGGACACATCATGGGCTGACATATTGAGACTGATCTCTTTTTAAATGGGAAACAAATTGAAAAGCTGTCTCGGCGCTTCCCTACGCGCCTGCTTTGCACCTGCACAATCACATACGCCGCCGCCGTCACCGCAGCAGCAGAAGTAAACCAGAAGCGGATAATAAAGCAGCAAAACCAGCACCAAACCGCACAAGGACGAGAAGATTGGGAAGATAAATCAACTCAAATCAATCTAGTCGTTATGAGCGGACTGAAAACATGCGGGTTAACCCTTTAAAGGTTTCCTCGACCATTTTGGATCACTTTTAGAAGCTTGGAACTGAAATCTACCTCATTAGGACATCTCTATCACTTGATTTAGGCACTTTTACTATAAAACTGCTTCTCGACTATTTGGTAAAGGTCTATAATTAAAATGTATAAAAATTATAGATGGTACATTCATTATTAAGTTTATCTCGAATGGATTATCAGCCGGTTGGTACCTAATCTAAACACACAGAATGTGTGGACTCTCTAAACGGTTTGGTTCTATCATTTCAAGATTCAAGAATCTATTTGCCATTTGCAGTAAACCACATTGGAATAGCTGTGCAAGACTTCCCCAGGGTGCACACAGTTTTTTTCACATTAAAGTGGTTCTCACCCCCGCTCCTCGGAGCTTACGTCACCTCACATTGCCTGTTCAAATTTTCCTCTAAGACTGGGCGTAGCACCTGCGAGGACTAAAGGGGGCGTTTAATGAGACTGGGCCGTTTATATAGCTCTGGGCGGGGGGTGCTGACGTCAGGTCTTGCTTCAGACGTCAGGTCTTGCTGCCGCGCCAGTGTTGGCGCCAGATTCAAAATTCAAATGTAGTAATACAGGTCGGCCAGCAGAATGGCGCCTCACAGACGGTTTTAGGCAAGAATGTTTTAATCTTTCAACTAATTTTGCACCACAGACAGACATACACTATTGACCACTCCATTGTGTATACCAGTGTATCAGCAAAAAAAGTCTCAAAACACTATCACACAATTCCAGGAAGGGAAATTATAGATGGTGCGAGTTTATCTCAAATTGATAAAGCTGGAGTACCTAATTTAAAAAAAAAGCGTGTATGCTTTCCTTAGGGAGTTAACATAAAGGGTTAAAATGGCAGGGAAGTACATGAATGAATTTTTTCGGCCGGTCACATTTTTAGATCAATTTTAAGAGAGAAAAGTGAAAAAAGAGAGGACCACCATTTCTCTTTCTCATTATTAAAGAAAGAAAGTTAAGTACCCCAGCTTTAAGGATTGTCTCATTGTATTCACCACTGAATACATGCTTTCTGAGAACATTCAGGTAAAAAAATGACAAGGAAAAAAAAACATGGAAAAGGGGGGTGGGTTGTGTACCTCCGTCTGTGTCCTCGCTGCCAAAGTGCCTCCTGTAGCAAAGCAGGAGCTCGATCTTGTAGCATTTATAGAGCGAGATGAAGAAGATGAGCAAGAGGAGGATGGCTCCCAGGGCTTCTGCCAGCTCCTCGTTGTACCTCAACTCTGCTGACAAACCCAAGGAAAAAGCTCGCGGTACAGAATTCGGCCCGCAAATAAAAATACATCTTGAGCTCTGCAATAGTACTGCATAATGATGCAAGTTTTCTGAGCAAATTTCAGTTTTGTTATGGCGAGTCGACTTGCAAAACTGGGGATTTTTGCTTGTTCAAGTGATTGCTGACGATGTGGAATTGTGAGGGTTTTATACAGTCAGATGGAGAAATGGAAGTCTCATGGTTTGCTTCTTGTTACCACGGGGACTCCCAGAATTCTGAAACTACTTCAAGAACCTTCATTTTGACTGCTCCCATTCGCTTCAGTCATCACCGTGTGTGGAGTGATTGGAAGAATATCTGAACTCTGAATATTGTGAAGTGCTTTGGGTGACCTTGGTCTGTAAAATGAGCTATATAAATAACCCTTACCTTACCGTACCATTCAAACCACTGGAATTCTGAGAGATTCCACGCAAGAATTTTAGTTCTTCACCAGATTTGATAAAAGTAATCTACCGTTACTCACTTTTACATAAGTGCTAAAACTGGTTATACATAATATATTTTCTCAAGGGAAACAAAAAACAATGTATCTAATTATAATTTTTTTATCTACACACCATATCACTAGAAGTAAAAAAATTAAATATATAATGATGTGGTGGGTTAAAACCTTATAATAAAATAAGTGTGTTTTCTTCCTGAGAAAATAGAGGATGTATAACATGCCTTGGTTGCCCATAACAGTCAATGCAGCAAGTTAAAAATTTAAAATTGAAAATAATTCTAGGGACCACTAAAAATTGTCCTACAGTCCACGAGCCTGAGTTTGACACACATCACTTTTAAACGCTTTTACAATTCAAGAAAGCGAGACAAGCCGCGCCATTATCTTTAAAATATTAGATCAAACAGCGGCAGCCGGTGCAGATAGTGCTGGCAGAGATGAACCCCGACTGAAGCGAGTCTACAATAAGTTTGGAGAGGAGAGGAAGAGGTCTGTACGAGATAATAAGCGGTAATGAGAAAGTGGCTAGATTTCTGTGGGAGCGTCGCCGCGGTGACACAGCTCTGCACTTTGGCTGCGGTCCACGCCGGGACACTCTGGGATTGGATTGTATTTAACAGTGTAGTACTTATCTCTCTCTCTCTCTCTCTCCCCCTCTGCTCTCCCTCCCTCCCTCCCTCCCTCCCATCATCCCTCTTCTCTATTATCTCATCTGGATCGCCCCGGAGACACAGCTCGAGGAAGGATGACTTATGTTGTGTATTAAAATCGGCTATTTACCTGGCTGCCTCTGCTCCGACAGCTCACCTTGTATTTATATCTGCCACTGAGGGCGCCACGCAAAAACACCACGCCGTTACCATGACGACGCCTGATTAGATTATGTTCGGTGTACGTGTAGACGGCGGCGAGAACAATGTCACGTCCTGCCGTTCCTTTTCCAAAAACAAGTTCTGCCTTTGATGTAATTAGTTTGAATGAATTTTCAAAAAGGTCTCAAGTTCAACGGTTGTGAAAAGTGGGATTTTTGAAAGAAATGGTAAGTCATAAGTAAGTCATGTTTATTCATATACAGACCAAGATCACTCAAAGCATTGAGTTCAGATATTTTTCCATTCTCTTCACACAGTGATGAGGGAAGCGAGACGTCGAACACACAGATTCATCTTCGCCTCCAACCAACACCATTCATTCACTCACTCATTACAACCGGAGCGCCCAGAGGAAACCTTCGCAGACACAGGGAGAACACGCAAACTCCACACAGCAGCAAGGTCTGGATTTGAGTATTTGATTATAGTCACAAAATTTGCCATATTAATGTCTGAAAGACCTTTCTACTGGCCAACATTGTGCATACGCTTTTAAATTAGCAACAGGATGAGCTAAAATCTGGAACAGTCTTCCTGAGGATGCAAGAAAGAAGTAATTAAGTAAGTAAGTAAGTAAGTAATGTTTATTAATATTGCACATTTTACAGACAACCAAAACGAGACCAATAAACCTGCCTTGGCTTGCCTTTAAATGAAAAACCTGCATTATTTGGATATAGACCTATGTAATTTATTAATTAATCAAATAAACACCAACTGTGTGAGCGTTCCTGTCTCTAGCCGTCTGCTTTTACACATAAGCTTAAAACATCAGACCAAAACATCTGTCTCTGATGTTTTTTGTCATGAACAGAACTGCTGTGAATATGTTTGAAAATAACAGCACTGGTAGCATCATAGAAACTCACAAAAATATAGATGGCCTTGTATTAATGAGGATTGACATATAGATAGATAAAGCAGATTCAGTGGTCCCTTGTTAATCAAGAGGTTACATTCTAATAATTACCCTCATTAAGTGAAATCCATAAAGCAGTAAAGTGGTCTGTGGTAGCTAGAGCCGCAGTCTGACCTCGAGAGACAGTAACCGGCTCGACAGACTGATCAGGAAATGTGTTTCTGTGATGGGGAGAAGTGTGGACTCGGAGGGAGCTGTGCTGGAGAGAAGGAGGGCTCTAATGCAGGGCATCCTGGGTAACTCCAGACACCCTCTGCATGACACTATGGCCGCTCAGAGGAGTAATCGAAGCAACAGGCTCCTATCACTACGCTGCCGAAAAATATTCACTATTGTTTGTTGGTAAGTTAGACATGTTTATAATTGATGTACTTATGTGTTTATACGGATGTGTTTTCTGCTGCTGGACACTTGAATTTCTCGTACAAGATCAATTAAGTATCCATCCATCCGTCTATCTATCTCTCTATATCTATCTTTATGTTTTAAGGCTGTAAAATGCCTCCCCACACACTTTATTATACACTTTTCTAAACCCCCTGAACTCACGACTGCTAAAGTGTGATCGTGAAGATATCAAACATGTTGGTTGGAGATCTGAGCGCTGCTGCAGCTGTCAAAAGCCGTGCATACATTGTAAAATACGCTGAGGGGCAGGAGCAGGACTGAGGGCTACAGCAAGACAGCGGTACTCCTTCTGCACTAATCGCTGCGGTGCAGACAAGCCACAAGAGTTTTCTTCTGACTTAATAAAGTTATACTAGCGGTTTTATGATGTATACGAGCAGTGTATGAGAAGCACGCTGTAAAAAAGAATACAAAATTACACACACAAAAATCTGCAAGACCACAAAAGATAGTGCCACTAAAATAAACCTTGAAAGCCAGAAAAATTAGGATAAAAAGAACAAAACATATATTATCATTGTAATGTGATACAATAGTGAAGTAGTGGGACATTCAGTGGATTTGTAGAATAAGGGATAGAGGAAAAAAATGTTAGGTTATGACAAAAAATGATTGGTTATGACAGATTAATGTAGTGCAATAGTGAAAATGTGTGACATAGAATGAGGGATAGAGGTCAAAACGGGTGAGAAAAATCTAAATTGGTTGGTTCTTACAGATTAAATACATGTATAACTCTTACACGAGTATCAGAAATGTGAATATTGCTGTGCTAATAATAATTGCTTCTCTTATGCCCTTTATTTCCCTGTCGGCCTTTTTCTTTTCCATATGAAGAGAGTGGAGGCCTGTGGAAAACATCATAGATATGCTCCAGGCCGTACTACTGCCCACTGAAGCGTCCTGGGAAAATGCGTACATGAAATAAACATTAGAATATTGTTGGCGTTTGTAGTGGAAGTATCTTGAAATGTCCCTCCTCGGCTTTGAAATAGAGCAGGGAGCTACTCACACGGAAACGTCTCGGGTCTACAGAAGCGGTTTACTGAAGCGGGGATTAAAGCTCGCTGACAGACTGGAGAATTCTAATTGTAGTGGGCAAAAACGGCCAGGAAATTGAGGGATGCTAAAAGTCCAATTTCCTGTTTAAAGAGCCGTCAAAGTGTTCAGGGTGACAGCGAGTGTGTGCAGACGGTATTAGACGAATAAACAGAATTGTGGCCAAAGCAAGCCCAAAACAAAAACAAAAATATTCCAATGACTTTTACAGGTGTGCTCGGTGATAGCTATTGCACAAGCGTTTCTCACAAAAACACATTTGTGAAAAGTTGGCTCAAGAGTGGCTCAAAGTTTACATTTTGTTGTTTGTGTGTGTGTGTGTGTGTGTGTGCGTGTGTAAACGTCACAACTGAACAATGGGTTTGTATGTGTTGCATTGATGACGTAGTACTTGAAAAAATGAAACTGCTCAGAACGTAATGCATGGGTGTCAAAGTCAAGGCCCGGGCGCCAGATCCGGCCCGCAAATGAATTATCTTGGCCCCCTGGGTGATATTAGATTAGTATTTAAACTGGCCTAAACAGAGCCATAAGAAATTGTTGGTTTATTAATTCAATGCTCAGTGTTTTCTCTTTGAAGGAAGTTTGTTTTTGTCAGTGAACCTGTTGAAGAATAAAAAAAAAAAAACGGTACACTGTGATAGGTCTTGGTTCATTAGGATGTATGCAATCATTTTAATATGTTTAAATACACTTTGAAGCAGTCCGGCCCTCGGCTTGTAGGACATTAGCTTTTTTTGGCCCTCTGATGTATTTGAGACAGGAGCTTTTATGTGTTGATGTCCCTAATCTTAGCATGAATAGCTCCAGCTCTGTTTTTAATGAGGGAACAATGTTATGACATGATGCCCAAATAAGTCAATTTGCATAATACCTCTCCTTTAAAAGACCCCTTTAAAACAATAAAAGTTGAAGTTTAAATGATGAAATTGGTCATAATCCAGTATCCACCATTACCATTAATAAAGGAAAAGTTATAGAGCTAGAACTTTTCAGGAGGCTTTCCCTGATGAATTCTTTCCAAATGTTTACATGTATCTCTGCAGGAACATAGATCAGAAACATGGATGCAAGGTTTTTGAAGAAATCCTTATAAAAAGCTGTTTTCCCGCTCGACTGAAGGGTCGACGGAGCCTTGAATAATTAATCCTTCGCATTTAATAAACGAGGACATAAATTCTGAATATGTGGAGCGAGTGGACGTTGAGATGGCAGAGATGGTGTGTGGTGAAGGAGGCCTCACTCTGTTTCAGGAGCTGGATGGTGGCGTGGCGGCGGCCGTTGGCGTTCTCCACGTAGCACGAGTAGTTTCCCATGTCCTCCTCCTCCAGAGAGTCTATGGTCAAAGAGATTACCACCTCCTGCTCTCCAAGATGCTCCTTCACCACCCTGCAACACACATTCAGATACAGAATCATTTATATTTGACATTTTGCAGTAAAACCACATTGGAATACATGTACCAAAGTGCGCACCAGACAAAGATGTAAAATAAAACAAGCTAAAAATCTATCAACAAAAAATAGTTCCAATACAAGGTCAAGATCAATAGAGTGTGTTGTTTAAACCGATTATGGGTAAAACACATGTCACACAACACACAATCACAGGCAATTCAATTCATTGTGTAGTCCTAAATCGCAACAGTTATCTCGGAGGACTTTACACACGCTGCTACTGTCTATCTCTGCTTTGTAAATATCTCTTGTCGTATCTGAACTGTGTTTTTAGTGTGTGATAAACGTGTTTCTTGTAGTGATGGCAATATGAAGCCCCATGATGCATTGAGGGTTTGCAGCCTATTACTCGGCCCATGAGTCGAAGGCTCGAGGTGAATCATGCTCCACTACGCCATCATGTGGACAAAGAAATACATAACACTCTTAAGTGCTTACAATGAATGGTGAGATCTAATGTTAAAATGTATATTTACAATCTATAGTCTAACGTGTTGTGTTTGAAATGATGCTTCATGAACTATGAACTATTTGAGTCTTTCAGTCAATTGTGTTGATACAACAAACACATCCAAAGTAATACAGTTCTACAGAAAGTGATTAATGGAGGAAAAACTACCAAGAGGTGGATTAATTAAACACAACAAACCATTTATTCCCAATAAATAAATACATTTACTTTGCAACACAACATTTATTATGGGTAGACCGGGATTCGAACGCTATACCTTCTACTTCGGAGTCCGTCATATACCGACTGCGCCACACAGCTGTTGTGAAATTTATTATCCAGCGTATTATTACTGATAACTTGAAGCCTTGATATATGAGGTTTTACTAAAGTGAAACGTTTTTAATTGTATTTCATATGAAGTAGTTTCTCTATACTTAGTACAGGACTGCTCCACATCACGCACACACACGTACGCACACACACGTACGCACACACACGTACGCACACAGAGGCAGACGGGGACAGCCAATACAGTCTATGGTACAGCCGCGGATCACAAAGCACCTGTCAAAGCAATGCACTCTCCGAACTATATGAAGCACTATATGAACCGTGATGTGGTGCGGCCGCTACGCGAGGCTTCGAACGTCACCACATACGTCACCAACACACGCCTCGAACCACGCTTCAAAAAATACGCCCCTTTTTTACTCGGTACACGCTTCGAAGACCCGGCACGCTCAGCACATCACTAGTTTCTTGCTCTCCCCTGTATTCGCTGATTTACTGCATTGTATTATTGTATGTATTTTTAATGTTATTGTCTTTAGGGAGATGTATTATGTCCAGGGACTGCAGATGAAAAATAGCCTGCTTTGCCAATTCTGGTGTTTACAGAAATGTTTATTAATGCACAATGCCCCTGTCAAATAAAGTCATACATTAAACAACAGTTGATTTTGCCAACACAGATCAGAGAATCAAACAAGAAACGCAATGATAGAAAACATATTTTTATTGTTCCATGAGGGGCAGATGACCGATGTCCAACAATAACCTTTTTCAGTCAGAAACATGTTGCAGAGCCAGAGGCAAAGTGTAGTTCTGTTATAACTATTCTTACAATAACAACGATGAGTGTTTCTCAAACTGTGGTATGCCAGCTACTACTATCTGCTTTCACCATGGAGCACTTTGCAACCTTGGTTTGTGAAAAGCGCTGCATAAATAAAGCTTTCTTACTTCCTACTTTATGAGTACTTTCTAAAATAGTGACCAGCATTTTGTTACCACCTTTAGAAATGCTACAGGAACAATGAGGTCCTATTGAAAACCTGCTTTAATCCTATAATGACGTATACAGTCCTTGAGAAGCAACGTTTTTAAATATTTGCCAATGGGACAAGAAAAGTGTGTTAAGTTAAAGGTTATACTCACAAAAAAAAAAACGGTATTTCAAGCATTCATGATCTTATATTTTATATTTTATTTTATCCTGTATTACGGTGGAAAAGTTGGATTATATGCCTCATTCAAACTTACTAATTGTTGAGGAACCACAAACAACTTTAAACGATAAAATCCATTTAATGACAAGTTCTTTGGTCTCAAAACAGCTCAGTTCGATCCCCACTTTTCAAAGACATGTATTCTTGGCCTCTGTCACATCCTTGGATCGTCTCTCAGCCCAAATTGCCATAAAATCCCTCACAGGGCTCTTTCTTGCTCGTGAAATGGCGAGAGCATGTTGTGGTTTGATTTGTTCGGATTTTTTTTTGCGTTCAATCTCTCAGCTGGGAAAAACAACTAGTCTCATTTATGTAAAAGAGACAGCTGTTTCCGCCAAAACAAAAACATTACATACTGCTATTACTATTAAATGTGGAAATGTTTCTGATCCTGCCACTTGAACAGAAGGAGTTTGGGAAAAGTACAATTCCGTGACCAAATTGGACCATCAAGCCTTTCACTTTTTCATACTTAAAAAATATCCCAGTGACTATTTTCGGCTCAGAGCTAAAACAGACCAGCAACTATATCATTTGAAAATATAGAACCAAATTAGTTATATAGATGGCCTTTTTAATCACCTTTACTTTGGGGTTAGAAAAAAAGGTACCCCAGCTTTAATGAGATACAAGTGTGTCAAACCGGTCCTCGAATGGGCGGTGTGTCTGCAGGTTTTCATTCCAACCAAGCAGGAGCACCCCAGACTCCACTCATTTCCTCCGGTGAGTCCAGTCTCAACCAGAAAACCTGAGGTAATGGGTGGTGTCTGGTTTGCTCCCGCTTGGTTGGAATGAAAACCTGCACCCACACCGGCCCTTTCTGGAACCAGTCTGACACAGAGATACAACCATCTGAGCTTTTCACAGATTGATCCGAGTTAAACCATCAGTGCAGCATTATATAAACCAGTTAATTGTTGTGTATTGTGTTGCATTGTGAAAAGTGAAAATCGCACTATGTTACGGTCTGCGCTCTTCCTGTTATGCTAATTCCTCCCTCTGCTCTCAAAACACATGACAAATGAAAATCAATAAGGGTTCTTCCTTGCCGTGTGCGGGAGGCGAAATCAAATAACGGCCATAGAGGAGGAAAAATCTTTTTATAGCGGCTGCCATGGTTACAGGCAAAGAAGGAGAGAAAGTAATATTCCATAAAGTCAATGAGCGTCCTCCCGCTGGGTTTCTTGAGCCTCATACACTCTACTTAGCCCACTTTGCAGGGCGCCCTCCAGTGCACCGGTGATGCATGGGCGACAACAAGGCACAAACGAGAGCGTTGATTGCATATATTTTTTGCGCTTATTTCCCGCATATATCATGTGCTAATAAAAGCTTGCGCGGTAGAGAAGTGGAAGCAGAAGCCTAATAACTTTCAAGCATCTCTCTCTCGCTCTCTTTCTTTCTCTTCGCACTGCTCCCGGCTGATAAACTGCACATGAGGACGCCTTGTTGAGGAGATTTAGAAGCGGCAATTGAATGTGTGTTGTGGGTTTTTAACCGTGAGTGGCTGGCGATGAGGATGTTTGTGGAGATTTTTTATTTTTTATTTTATTATTTAGTTGCTGTGGAAGGCAGGCGCTGAGTGGATGGAAGGAGCAATGGGAATAATTCATGGATCTTGAGGGAAGGCGAGGAACTTTGAAGCCTGCCTCTTGGTATTAGCGTGCGCCATGAGCCCGACGGAGCAGATGGGAACGAGCCGATAGATAATGACTGCACCGAGGAGAAAGGGAGGGACCGCGGTGAGAAGCAGGGAGGGACAGGTCTGGGGTTTGTTACATGGGGAATTAGCTGCTCATCTTAGCATGTTGTTTTGATAATTTAGGTGGAGCATATACGTTTCAAAGAGACGATGACATGTGAAAGACAGGAATGCGGCAACGGCGGCTTCGATGCTGGTACTGTTGCTATGATACGACTTCAGCGTCATTCTATTTACAGTTGGCACAAAGTCAATTTTAAGCTGTTAGTTACTTTGATAATCTGGTATTGTAATGTGTTCAATTAATGGTAAAAACTTAAAGCTGGGGCACGTAACATTCAAACCACCAATAATGGAACAATGTAATCTAATAAATGAACTAGTTCCAGGCTCCAAAACAGTTTGGTTCAATCATGTATTTTTATTTTTTTTGGATTGGTCTGACTTTGTTGGAAAAATATGCTGTATGTTGTATTATATTCTATAATAACAAAATTATGTATACACTGCCATACTTTTGTGGTTTAGCTAAAAATGATACAAAATCTATATTACTTATTTTTGTGCTAGTTTTTGTTCTCTTATAAAAAAGATATAGAGACTACATTTCACCTAAAAAACTGGCACCAAAATGAGAGCCTCATTCTGCTCTCTGATTGGATGAAACTTCAATATTACAGATATTATGTCCAGTGTATATTTGATTAAGAAAAACAGTTTAAACGTTTGTTCAGATGTGGACATCATATTTGACCCGTAATCTGCAGCCGAATATACATTTGACACTTTGGGCTCAGAGCTGATTGGTCCTCCCCTTTTCACTTTTCTGATCTGTCACAGAGGCCGCACACACACACACACTCACACACAAAATGATAAAAGTAGTGAAATGGCTCTATTGTTTGGATTAAAAACTATATTCTATTATTAAAAAACACCTCTAAAACACCTGCCTGAAACTATTCCATTCACCCCTCGCGCTGAACACCTGCAGGGCTCACATCGATCTCTTCCACAGGCGTTTCATGTTCCTTCTGTATCGCTAATCATTGCCTTCGTTGACTTTGGTAATGTCTGTCCGAGCGAGCTGTGAAAACAACACTACGCCTTGTTCCTTTCTGCAAATGTGAATTTATGGAGCTGGGTTACCATAGAAATGAACTCCTTGGGATCAATACTCTCTAAGTTGAGCAAACGCACACACACACACACACACAAACGCAAACACACACACACACACACAGACACACACACACACACACACACAC